CGTTAGCTCAACAATACTCCAGGGCTGCTTGCCTGGGCCAGGCCCTGGGTTTGGGAACCAGAGATAAGGTGATGACACTGTTTTTAAGAAACTGTCAGATTGGGGTAGGCATCAAAGGTTGGGTGAAGGGTGTGTGCATCTCCCAGCATAACATGTAGGGAGATGTACACACGTTAAGTGTGCAGCTGGATGGGTTTTGTGTATGAAACCCCCATAACCACCACTCAGTAGGAGACATAGAACATCGCCCCCTCAGACCCCTCCTGGTTCTCCCTCCCAGGGCAGCCACTCTTCTGACCTGTGTCACCAAGATATTGCCTGTTTTTGAACATTGGGGGCATATGTCTTTTAAAAAAGCATTTTCAATGTCATAATCCTGTGTTTAGAAAACAGACCAAGACCCTGGTCCAGCACAGTGCCATGGTGAAGTGGAAGACCCCAGCAGTGGCAGCCAGAGCCCTGGGGAGGTTCAAGGATGCTTTGTCTGGCTGGTGACCAGGCCAGTGACTGGTACCACCCTGAGGCTCTGATGTTTTGGTGGTGAGACCATGTGTTGTTCCCTGTCAACCAATAGAGTCTGGTGCACCCCAAACACTTACTGTCTGTAGCCCCCACTGTCTCCAGCAACCCACAGTGCCCCCATCATGCCCACCCAGTGCCCAACTGGGCCACATCACAGCGGCATCACTTCCAGGTTGGTGGCCTTGGAGCAAGATGCTTAATCTCTCCGTTTCAACTTTATTGAATGGGGGATAATTGTAGCACCTACCGTATAGGCGTGTTAAGAGGATGGAGTGAATTCATGTAAGGTTAATATTTGTACAGTTTAGGAGAATGTCTGATACGTAGGATGTGCTTATGTAAAAATTAAATTAAACTTTGATCAAATATTGGCTGTTGGGAATGTGATAGAAGACACAGGAGTTCCTGATTATCCTGTGAAGTGGGCGAGGGCCTCTGCGCTGCTCCTCATGGAGGGGGGAGTCTTATCGCACAGTGAGGAACCCCAAGGAGGTGCCCATTAAATGCCAAATGCTTGACTGATTTGGTGGTGGGCAGGAAAGGGCCACTTGGCTCCCATCAACTTTGGTTCTGCCTGCCAACCTCCAGCCCTGGAGATTTGGGCTGTGAAGAAGCAAGGCCCAGGTGCTGCAAAAAACACACCTCCCAAGTGTCCTTGCCTGGACTCGCAGTCCATCACCCCCACCTTCCCAGAGAACAGAGGCATTTCCCTGCCCATCAGTCCTGGATTCTTGCCCAGCCCTGTGACCAGAGCACACATTTCACAGATTGGGTCCCAAGGGAGACGGAGAGCTGAACTTGGGTGGAGGCCAAGAACCTGCTGACTTCTCAGTCACAGCCAAGGGGCTGGCCCATGAGGCAGGTGAACTCTAAGCCCCGCAGGAGGCTCCTTGGCTCAGGTGGTCCCTTATCACATGGACCAGGCCCAGGGTGTGGGGATGAGCCCTGGTGGCTTGTGGACCCAAGTTTAAGTCTGAACTTGATTCACTGCAAGATCGACCACTGGTACTTCCAGAGCCTCAGTGTTCCCTTCTGCAAAATGGGCACAACCACAGCTATCTGATAGTTTTGAGAATTAAATGAGGCAGTAAGTACAGTGTGGTAGAGAGTCAAACTGCCTTGAGGCAGTAAGTACAGTGTGGTGGAGGAGAGTCAAACTGCCTGGGTTCACATCCTGGCTCTGCCTTGGGACATTGTGGAAATGATTTGACTTCTCTGTGCCTTAGTTTCCTCACATGTAAATCACGGAGAATAGAGTTCCTGCCTTTCATGGTGGCTGGGAAGACTAAACGAGCTAGTAATTGTAAAACACTTGGCATATTACTTGCCATAGCTCTTATTAGCTATTATTGCCATTAATTTTGCAGTCAGTGCTCAATACATGATGAATTGATTATTAACTCAGTGGTTAGGCATCAGGCATTGAAGTTACACAGCTGGAGTTTGAGTATCTGCAACATCATTCATTAGCCGTGTGACCCTAATAAGTGACACCACCTCTCTGTGCCTTGTCTATAAAATGGGGTCAATAACATTACTGACTTCACTGAGTTAAAAGGTTTAAAGGAGTCAATAATCGTAACGTGCTGACACATATAAGGACTAAATATTAATATCATATTAATACATTAACATTATTATTAATATTAATATTCCAATGGAGGAGGGTAAGGACACTAATTTTTATTGAGCACCTTCTGTATATACCAGCACTTGTCATAAAGCATCTAGCAAGGATATTACAGGACAAGCATTTGGTAGAGGAGGAAAATGTGGCTCGGAGAGGGTGGGCCAAGTGCCCAAAACCCTACCAGTGGTGAAGGGCCACGAGCTGCGTGTGGTTGGGGCAGGAAGGATAGCCCCGATACTTAGTGAGGCCCGCCATGAGCCAAGCATGGGGCTCGGTGCCCCCCTAACTCCTTTCATCCCACAGTAACCCTAGTGGGGGCCACTGCTGTCCTCCTGGTGCAGATGAGGGGCCCAAGTATCAGAGGGGAGTTTCCGAATTCCCACAGGTAACTGGTAGAGCCAGGATTCAAACTTGGTTGTCTGTCTGGATTTTTGTCAGAACCTTAAACTGACTCCTGAGCCAGGGGAAACAAAGTTTTATGTCTATCAAACCTAACAGAGAGGACCAAAGGCGGTAGGTTGTTTCCAACCCCTAGGGCCACACTGGATTCTCTTCCAGGCTCCTGGGGACAGGCGGACAGTAGCTTCCAAGGGGGCCCCAGAGACACACTCCGAAGACAAGGACAGTCAACACCCAAAGGAGTCATTGTTACCCAGAAATCTTTATTACAAAAATATTTTGCAAGCCAAAAAGTTTAAGTTGCAATTATATACAAAATGGGGCCTGTTTTCTTCCAAGCAGTCTTAAAATAAACTCCTGAAACCACGCTCCTTCTGCAACGTTGCTTCAACCTCTTCCTCTCCCTGGGGTTCTGTACACAAGGTATGGGGGCTCTCCAGGCTGAAGCTAAAGCTATCTGTCTTCCTTGGCCTCACTATCTTATTTCTGTCTCTAAAACTTAAAATCAAATTAAAATGGCACCGAGAAAACGTTCTTTTAAAACACTGTGTGTGCGCGTGTGTTTTGTGTGTGTGTGCACGCATGTGCTGTCTCTGAGCAGAAGAGATGAAGGTTTACAGGCCAACCCTTTGGAATGTGGGTAGAACCCGAGCCAGGTGGCTGGGCTGCTGTGGCTCCCAGATGCCTCAGAGGAGCTCTGGTTCATCAGGCCAAAGCTGCCCACATGGCCTTTTGGCTCAGCTCATTCTTGGATGCCATCATGTAAAACATCAAGTCACCATCCCCCAAGAGCTGGGTCTGTGCTGAGCTGCTGAGTTCCCCCTACAGGACCTGCAGGAATGTGCAGGGTGACTCAGCTTCTCGCTCTGACAGCCTGAGTCAGGAATCCTGGGGGCATCCCTGGCCAGGGGGTCTGGAACATTAGCATGTCAACTCTTCAGAGTTACAGGGAAGGACCAAGCACGCAGGGCTTGCAGCATCTGCCTGCCCTGGGCCCAGCCAGGCCCTCACACCCTACTGGAAATGGGTGTGGGGGCGGTCAGAGGGAAACTGGGTCACAGCCTCTGCACAACCTCCAGAGACAGAAGGAACAAGGACGGATCAGCCCTGGCTTCACAACAGTGCCGTCCTCCTGGCTGTCTTAGATTTATTCCAGTTTATCCTGATAGGGTTTTAGAGCAGAAACAGAAGACTCCTCCTTCAGGGACCAGCTCAGAGAGCTGGAATGGGGGTAGCTGCTAAAGGGGTGAGGAGAATGGCCAGGCTCAGTGTCCCTATCTTCTGCATGTCCCTAAAGTGCTTATGAAATGGTGGGGAAGGGTGTCAATGTCCTTCTTCCCTCTTTATAGACGAGCACACTGAGGCATTAGGTCTCGACCACACCGCACCGTCAGAGGCAGCCTGTAGAAGCACTGGGCAGGTTCAGACTTACCATGGTGGCATCGAGAGAGGCAGCAGTGCCAGCCCCATGGCTCGGCTGAGAACATGGCCCAGTTTGTCCGGAGAGAAGGCCAAGTGTCTCCACAGAGCAGCCAAACGGATCCTTCCTCCCCATGCTCAGGGCTCCGGGACTGGGAGACATTCCGTTTCTGCTGTAAGAAAATCTCTCCAGGACAGCAAATTGTTAAACCTTAGACTTCACAAGACCCAACCATGTACTTCAACATGTGACAAAGAGCCAAGATAATGCTGCTGTTGTTATAAGAAAAAAACAAAACAAAACACCACAGATCAAGTTTTCTAACACCTCAGTTTCAAGATTGCACATTTCACATTTCTCAATAATTTACAGGCGTCCACAGCAAGATGGTGCTGAGTTAGTGCGAGCTGGAGAAAGCAAGCGCGGGTCTAGAAAGGAGGGCGGGTCCCCCGGGAGCATCACAGTGGGGACGATAGGCCCCCAAGGAGTCGCGGAGGGGCCCAAGGAAGAGGAGGGTTTTGTCTTGAGGTCCTTCAGGGGTGTTCCTCGGAGGGTCCCCTTCTCTACCAGGGCTGTCAGCCCAGGGTGGGAGACCAGGACTGTTGGCAGCAACCTCACCAAGTCTTGGAATGTGGGTCCCAGAGGTTTTTTTCCAGCTTCTCCACGGATGAGCCAGTCTGACCTATAGGGAATGTTTTCCCAGTTGGGTGGTGGTGGGGGTG